GAATGTCTTATTCTATAATTTGCTTCGAAACGAACATCTTTCATAGTGCTGTATGTGTTCAGAATACTGTTTCTATAGTCCACGCGTCTGTAGTTACTAAGATGGAATTCCACCGACGGGTATATCACTTTGCGAACTGCTTCTACTAAATTCCCATAAAAAGACATGATGTATGTAGCCTAAAAAGCAAAGATGATACTAACGTAAGCTCATATCACTTTTTCGGATTTTTCAATTAGAAACATCATTATGTACAATGCATTAGATCTTTTCGTGTAAGTTCTTGAGCTACTATCTTGGTACGCATGACGTCCGTGAATAGCGTTCAGCTCACCATCTTCTACAAAAGATTTTAGAACAGATAAAGAAAAACATCTCCTTTGTAAACAGAAAGGAACAAGCCCAAGCTCAGCGAATAAGACGAAATTCATCCTCAACTTCGAATTTCCCGACGTCAGAAACCCTTCGGTATACTCTGACAATGAATGTTAATAAGTTGTGGCTAGTTAATGAAAAATTAATAATTAATTAAGCAACACTAACGTCGGATTCGAGATCCTCGACCTTGATGGTTACCCTTCGGTCAGCCCTTACTCGAAAACGAAGAAAATTTTCATCGCTTAATTAGCTAATTAGCAAATTGAAATTTCGAGAAACTGACACTGGATTCGAAATCCTCGACCTCGATTACCTCATCAGTGGCCAATCTTTGATGACTATAGATAAATTTCATTGATTCATAATATGCTGCAATCTGATTGGATTATGCAAACAAACAAACAAACTTTATGCATTTTCATTACTGTATTTATGACGCTATAACCCTTTCTTTCAGAAAAGGGAATAAGGGAAGTCTAATGTTGAACAAAACGCCTTAAGCAAAGAGAAGAAGATGTCATATGATGAGCACAAAAATAAAACGACCTCGGGGTGCGAAGAAAAAGGTATTCCAAATTAAAGGAAAATTCATTTCCTTCTCGATGTCTAAAGATATGTAATGAGATCTTATATTCTGTTCATTGCATCAGAAAAACTTCACTCACATATATTGCTGCTCATTCCACCTGTGATGTCTGCATCAACTGCCCTGAATGTTATTGCCTTTACGAACAAATATTCACGATATTCCACTATCGGTGTACTTATTATTGGATTTATCGGCAATGTTCTCAATATTATCGTTTTCCTTTCTATGAAAATATTTCGAAATAATCAATGCGCATTCTATTTTACTGTGAAATCGATCTCAAACATCTTTCAAATTACCAACACTTTCTCTATTTACCTTCTGGCATCATTGGGTAGTTATGATATTGCTTCTGAGTGGCTAGTCTGGTGTAAACTTCGATCAATTATCTTTGTATGCTGTACAGTGATTACTCTATACACGATCTGTTTCTCTACGATAGATCAATACCTTTCCACCAGTCACCTTTTCTTTCTCAGGCAAGTTTCAACTATTAAGTTATCACGTTGCCTTACCGTTGCTATTGTTATTATCTCATTGTAACATACAGTACCATTTGCTGTTTTCCTCGATATTCAACAAGATGTATGTACGATATTTAACCATCAGATGGCAAACTACGTTTCATATGTTTACTATCCTGTCCTCATTGGTTTTCTACCAATGACAATCACATCATTACTTAGTCTGTTATCGTATCGGAATGTCCGACGACGGATTCCAGTGGTTCGCCGTCGACTTGACCAACAATTAACAGGAATGGTACTTATTCGTGTCATTATTTTCGTGATTTTAACTTTACCATACACGGTTCTTCGAATTTACACATATGTGACAAAGATCACTCCTTCGTCGAATCTTTATGCCTTTGCTATTCAGAACTTGGTATCATCCATTTTAGGAACAGTTGTGAATTTGAACTATGCAGTAAGTTATGTCAAGTGATTTGTTTGTGTTTTTAGTCAATTGTGCTTTTTCTTTGTTAATAGGTGTCGTTCTATGTGTTTTGCGTAGCATTTCGACGATTTCACCGACAAGTGAAGCATGTTTTGATTAAAAAATGCTGGCGTCAATGCAAACTATGGTGTTCTTCTGGTAAAAACCAAATAAATCCGGATGTAGTTATGAATACCAGGCCAACTGATTCTGATGAGATCATCGACTAAAAATTGGCATTTATTGGTAAAAAAAGCACTTTTTCTTTTTCTCTAAACATGTTACATAAACACCAGCCCTCAAGATGAATTTGATATGTGGGTTGTTCTTTTGGATAACGTCTTCAAAATAGTTAATGGCAGGTACGTCATGCCATGTGTAATGAAAACGACATACGAAGTGAATTGGAAAGCGTCAGAGAAAGAACTGTGTACATAGCTGGATTGTAAGTACAATGCAACGTTCAAAAGAAGTCTATTGAAGAGAAAAAAACTGTCTTTGCTTCGTCTTTTCTGTGTGGACTTTACTTGCGCATGCATAATATAAGAGTATAATGTACGTATATGTGCTTCAAATAATTCTTTGGAATAAGATTATATTAAAACGCGAGAGCTAATGAATAAGTGACGCTCCACGAAAAAATCAAAGATTCGAAAAACATGGGGATCAACCGAATTCGGCTTTGATCCGATATGTAGCTAGGGCTTATTGCCCTATAGATGAATCCAAAATATAACGGCCTCATGATTTATTTTAACAGAGTTGGCTCAGGTCGATTGTTCCGGCGACTGAATCGTTCTAAATCTAAGTCGGTTTCGGTACACTTTTTGTCGATTCCGGCTCAGAGTTCGCAGGAAACGGTCGGAGAATAAACTTAACCGGCCGAAGCCGACCGAGCTGCAATGACCTGCGAGAGTAGTTCTTATTCGTTCTTTTAAACTTGTTGGTTATTCTTCAGCAAATCTTCGTAAAGCTTTATTTTATACTCATGTGTTGCCTATTTTTACATGGATTTATCCTGTATTTTCGTTGTTGGCTCGAAGGCAACAAGAAAATAGGTCAACATTTTATTTTATTTCTTTGCGACGTTGTCTAAACTATCTTCATTGGAATGAAGTATCTTGTTGCTCTTTCTAATACTATTGGTGAAAATCATATTTTTGAAAAAGCTAACTTCTGTTAACTAAGAAAAAGTTGGATAGCTTGAGGAAATCTAAAAGATTTGTACCTCATACACCGATTCCCAGTTCAATCAATCTCGTGCTCGGCTCCGATCGGATCTAGCATCAGATTTGTTGACCTGGGTTGTTGGAAAAGCAGTTACTTGACTATCGTATATTCCTGAGAGTTCTTCGGTTTTCCATTATGACATTCAAGAAATTGAGACTCGTCAGTCTTTTCCTAATTATTTCTGTTGATGTGTTCTTCACTTGCTTAGCTGGTGTTGTTGTCTCGTTGTGATTTGTTCTTACAGTATTTTGGTATTTCTACTGAGGGTATACCAAAAGTAGCGAGAGTTGTCCGGTAATTTGTTACCGAAAGCGTTAAGAAACTTTCTCTATTATAGCCTGATAGAGAAAAAAATTCTCTATTTTCCTATGCTATTTGATCTAGTTCAACTAAAATTATCAAAGCGAAATTCCGATAAAATCGATTTTTTTAGCATGCCTAACGGTTACNTTTTCAGAATTAAAAAAAAATTTTCAAATCAAGGATACCAATTTTCAGAAAGACATTTATAACCTGTTTACAAGCTCGACCCTCTCTTGCTCCAGACGCTGAACTGAAACGTATAAATGAACTTGACAAAAAGACAAGACGAGAATGTACCTCTTCCGCTTTTTGAACGTGTATAAATCGATACACTGTTAAGAGTTTAGTGTTATTACCAGCATATAAAATGTATTATTATTGTTCAAATTATCTTAAAATAATTATTCTTATATATTCATTTTTTTACCTCTTTCTTTACATTTCTCTTAATTATCGTAGTAATAGTTACTTTTCTCTCATTGTAGCAGATATTTCTTATCGTGTTTTCTTATTTTCTTTTTTCATGTAATAACTCATAATCTACTTAATTGTATTGATACATATTTAGAATATCTGGTTATCAATTTGATATTTGGTATTAATATCTATTACTACTTTCGTGAAAATATCTAATCTACACTAAAAATAAATTAATATACACAATAATAGCTTTAAAGTGTAATATCTGAAAGCACGATTTCTACGAGAAAGAGCTGAGCGAGTCGCTACACGAGCGTTACTTGTGTACGCCATTGATCAACCAAGTGATCATATTCGAGTCACTAATTCGAAATCTTAATGATGAAGAAGAAGCTCAAGGTTGGTTTCTTATTTGTATTCTAAAAGTTATCAGATATGTTTAATTTATATAGCACATCAAACAGATGGAACCGTAGGTTTTCTGTCAGTGCACTATAAAAAAAGCGTAGAATTATAAACCCTCGAAAAGGGTTGATGGTCATGACATGAGGGTGGAGGGTGTGGGGTTTGATTATAATCAACCCTTTTTTCACAGTGTGGCACTTTGTCATTCCTGTTTGATGAAAAATTTCACAATTCGTATTCAATGGTTTACACTATTTGGATCAATTAATTTGGCGACTATCAATGTCAATCCCATTGCAAAAAATTAGTGAAATCTGACTGAGTAACATTTAGTGTTCTCGAAAACAAAACTTTCATAATCACAATAAATCTCTAATGTAAGTGGTAGTGTTTTTCATATTCCACTATATTTTTAACTTAAAAAAATTAATTGACACGTATTAATCCCTTTTGATGAAAATCGAATCGGTTGGCAAAAGAGTCAAAGGCATAAAAAATTTCCTGCGTTTCAGTTCTTATATTTACCATTGTAAATGTCAAGACAATTCACTGCGCATACGTATTCTAATGCCATCTATCTGTGCACACCAACAATTCATAACAGTTGAAATGATTACACGTCATTTGTTTTCGTCAAAAACGTATCTATCTACATCATCATCATGAATTGCTACTCATAACGAACAAAATCACAGATTTTTCATCGCTTACAGTCTCTACAACACGATTGAAATACAACATGCACACATTTTCCACATTACCTGTCGAACTAGTTTATCGAATTATGGATCATCAAAATGAGCAGACGCTATTTTCTTCAATGCAAAATATTTGTCAACGGCTCAACCAGATCCTGAGTACTTACCAGCGATATCAAGTAAGTTTACTTGCTATCGTAACATTCTTGTCGACTGTGCTATACATAAGCTTAATGGTATTTGATGTCGTAGATTTCCTCATAAGACTAACCAAACTAATTTCATAATTCACAAACAATTTCCTAGGGTGAGACAATCACAACCAGAAGTCATATGAAATCAAACATTCCATCACACTCTCCCTTCTGTTCTATGTACATTGAGGATGCATTCGACCGATACGCGACCACGAACGAGCAAAACGCTTAGTTATGAGTTACCCTTTGTGCGTTGAACTATTCGACCCAAAAATTGCAACAATTACAACTTTTGAGGGGAACTCATCTACTCAAAGAGACAACACACTATAGTTGCTTCACCTATGCCAATATTCATTCTCAACAGGCGTACATCAAATCCAACTCCTACATTTGAGAAGAGTAGGACTTGGATTACAGTGGAGCGCGTCTTCAAAAGAGAAATCTCATTACCACCAATAGATATTGAAACTTATGTCCTACCATTTCTATCCCACCCTTTCACAGTAATCTCCAGTCTAGATTCTCGACACAGCACCTCTTTCCTGAACAACAACTAGCACCATCACCCACCCGAAGAGATTCACATTTACACCCGACTGCTCCTTAAAAATTGACCCCAAACATAACTATTTCAAATCACATACATACCATCAGAAGTGCAATCAAACGTTCTCTCTACTACTTCCGCTTTTCACGATATATTACTTCAATCCAGACACTCAAGACACTAGACCTAAGATTCAATGCAACCGGTAATGAAGGGGCTCAACACATCGCGGATGCGTTGCGAACGAATACGGTAATATTGATCTCATTTCATAGAAGACGAAGCATTCAGTCTATCGCACACCTACAGACACTCACCACACTTTACCTAAGTTGGAACCAAATCAGTGCTGAAGCAGCACAACACATTGCGGATGCGTTGCGAACGAACACAGTAATATTGATCTCATTTCATAGGTGATCAAGCATTCAGTCTATCTCACTCCCACAGACACTCACAACACTTAACCTCGCTTGGAATAAAATCGGTGCAGAAGGCTCACGACACATGGCGGATGCGTTGCAAACGAATACGGTAATATTGATCTTATCTCATAGGCAATCAAGCACTCAGTTTATCTCACTCCGACAGACACTCACAACACTTAACCTCAATAAGAACGGAATCGGTGCTGAAGGAGCACAACACATTGCGGATGCGTTGCGAACGAACACAGTAATATTGATCTCATTTCATAGGTGATGAAGCATTCAGTCTATCTCACACCTACAGACACTTACCACACTTGACCTCAGTCGCAACCAAATCGGTGCTGAAGGCTTACGACACATGGCGGATGCATTGCGAACGAATACGGTAATATTGATCTCATCGCATAGACAATGAAGCACTCAGTCTATCTCACTCCCACAGACACTCACAACACTTCACCTTGTTGAGAACGGAATCGGTAACGAAGAAGCACAACACATTGCGGATGCGTTGCGAAGGAACACAGTAATATTGATCTCATTTCATAAAAGATTAAGCACTCAGTCTATCTCACACCTACAGACACTTACCACGCTTGACCTCAGTGCGAACAAAATCGGTGCTGAAGGGTCACGACACATTGCGGATGCGTTGCAAACGAATACGGTAATATTGATCTCATTTCATGGAAGATTAAGCACTCACTCTATCTCACATCTGCAGACACTCACCACACTTAGCCTCGATAGGAAGGAAATCGGCGTTGAAGTAGCTCAACATATTGCAGATGCATTGGGAAGGAATATAGTAGGATTGATGCTATGGTCGAAGAAGTTTGAAATTTCTGTTTTACCTCATTCTTAGAGCGACAAGATGCTGTTGTCCTGTCTGTGAACTCAATCGGAGAACATGTGATCGCGGGATCTGATGACTCTTGGCGTAGATCGGATCTTTTTCGATTGAGAACTTAGTAGATATCATTTGTTGTGTGGTTCTGGTGACATTGATGAGTAATAAAGGTATAGAAAATGAATGTTGTTGGGAGAAGTGAATGTGACCTAAATGTTAATGCTTTTTTTTTCTGTGAGAAATGCATGTGCATTATTGAAAATGAATGGTTTAGTTACGAAGATATAACGAAGCAGTGTTTGGTAGAAGAGGCGCCGTGTGTTTATGAGTGCCCGGTTTGGAGTTTTTTTTCTGAGAGGGTATGATAGACGAAACAACATTACTGTAGACGGATGTATTATATTGGAGATATAGAAGAATGGGATCGATGGTAGTACAGCACGTGTGCAGTTCAGATGCTATTTCTCCTAATGGCAAAATGATCAGGGCGTGGTACGCTGAATGGCAGCGATTCTTCATTAGAAGAAAGCTGTTTCATGTTTTATTCCAAAGCCTAAATGTGTTGATTGTTTGATGAGGAGGATTTATTTCTTTTTGTGGTTCATTTTTGGAGAGTAGTATTCATGCGTTATGTATGAGTTCTACGGTGCATTCGAAAGAAACACTGTGTTATAAACCGACTAGAATGACATAGTGAAGAGAGAATAATTAAAAAATAGCGCACCAAATCGTTCTGTTAGATTAATCATTTCCCACCATCAGCGTAGTCTGAAAACAAGTTATTTTGTCGAATATGATTAGCGCTATTCACTCTTGGTGCTTATCCATTTTAAAATATCAGGGAAGTGTTTTTACAGTACTTTATCGTGGAACAGTGGCGTAACCAGGATTTTTAGACCAATGGGCAAACTTTGCTTAGGTTGAAAAAAAGTAGTGGGCAAAACGGGCAAGCTTTTTGTCGATAGGGCAAAACTTTTACACTGAATCAAGTTTCAAAACACGACCACAAACAAAAGTGAAAAATAAGGATCTTTTATTTTTTAGTATAAAAAACAGAAGAAAGTCCAATACGCTGTGTTGTTTCTTTCACTGTAGTGCAGTATAAGAGAATGCAAGACAGGAGTGCCCCGACGGTGCGAAGAAAATCGGTTGGAGTCGCGAATCTTCACGTTAATCTCGCAAATTTTGTTTATTTTTACTCACAAACTTAGGAGTAGCTTCAGAAGGTTTAGAGATAATCGTAAAAT